AAATAAGTTTGCCTTCACATAAATATTTATTTTTTTGGAACTTGCAAGGTGTTTCAAGAATCACAAGATAAAGTCTATGATTAAATTTGATTTAATCAGTATTATATTATAATATTATAAAACTTTTTAATTTATTACTTACTTAAATGTGTTATTATCTATATTCTTAGATGAAATTTCTTGAGTTATTCACATTATAAGGTTAGAATTTATATTGACACATTGATGTGCTTGATTATGTAATTCATTTGCAGCAAATTCACAGAGTTTTGAACCTTGACAAGTTTGTATTTCACATTTTACTTCAACACCGAGATAAGAACACATAACTTTATATTCACCACCAGGCTTGCCAATTGAATATTGAATCTAAACATAAAGATATATATAGTAAGTAAAATATAGTAATTATAATAACACATAATTAAATTAAATAAAATTCTAAAATTTACTAACATCTTTGAATGCAGCTAACGGTTCATCCCAACCCTCAACATTATACACATAAGCAACACCTTCTAGACTTGTTTCAGGATATTCTATAGGAGTTAAAGTATGATAAACAATTTTTGATGCCAATTCCTTAGTAAAATATGTGGTTGTATCTTCATTTAAATCATTTGCAACATCATCTTGACGTTCATCATCGGAAGAAACCAATACACTTGTATTTTCGAAGGATTCCAGATCTTCTTCATAAATAGTTTCAATGTCATCAATAATGTGAAAACCAGGATTATTGCTAGTATGAAGGTCAGGATTATCGATAAGATAATAGTCAGGATCGTTGATAGTTCGAAAGTCAAGATCGTCCATTTCAAGAAAAAAATGCGATGAATATACATTTTACACTTGGCTTTAATTATTTAAATGAAAAAAAATCTTATGTACAACATACACACACACTATCATACGATTATCCAAAACATTTCGGCATACACACACACACTATCATACGATTATCCAAAACATTTCGGCATAATTCTACATATATAATGTCATGGGCTTCATCGTTTGAAATACCGCATTCTTTAGTGAATATATAATTCTTAAAATCATGTGCATCAATTTTCCCGTGTATTTATCGCTATTCATTTTTTTTTTACCTTTATATTATATACTAATTACATCATTCCTGTCATTCTCTATATTAACTTTTTTAAACTTCACTTTCGCTACCTTATACTTTTTAATTAATCACTAATTTATCACCCATCACGCTAGATTATACATCCGATCTTCTCTACGATCAGTTAGTACTCATGTCACGTGAAATGTTCGCTTCAAATTTTTTTTGCACAGGTATAATCATCCATACTTACAGGTATGGTCGTCCTCATACTTACTATACTTATAAGTATGGGCATCTTTTCTACTTATAAGTTTGATAAGTATGATTATTAAATATACGTATGAGTATAAGAACTTAAAGTTGCCCTACGCTACTATTCTTATTTTTCCTACTATACTACTTTATATATTACTCGTAAAAAAAAATACAAATTTTAAAAAAGTTAAATACGTAATTTGATTTATTATAATTTATACAGTATACTTAAAAGAAATCTTGCTTTAAGTTTGATTTAAATGTATAGTACTGTATGTACGTATATATAGTATGCAAGCTATAAAAGTGGTTTAACTAACTTAAACAAGAAGCGAAAAATATACCCTACGTATATAATGTAGCTTCTGTTTTTCAGTTCATTTTTACTTGGTATGATCTGTTTAGAGTCAGATATAATAATCAATAGAAATTAAAACCTGTTATGCTGTTTCTACATTATGATTGGCCGATTAGGACCTTAAAAATCACATGAATTATTAAAAATTTTTGACGGTCCCTGCATGGGATCAATGGAAGTTCGATTTGCATCAAACGATCTTTAATAATCTCTTGATCATTTTTATTTTGAAATGGCTTCTGAAGATAAAAAGACTACGGTGGCTGATGAGTTGGATGATATAGACGATCTACTTGATGGTTAGACACTAAATAATTTTTTTAGATTTTATAGGAAAAACTAATGTAACATTTTATTAATTTCAAACGTTTTAGAGGTCTTGGACGACTTTTCTTCACAACAGTCTTCTAAACATCAGGACTCAAACACGCAAACTACAACTTCCACAACCAATACTTCAAATGAAAATCCTATAAATGATGAAGAATATGCGGCGCAATTAGCCGCAGACATGGAAGATTTTGTTAAACAATTTGAAGAAAACGAAGAGATAAAAAAAGCATTTCAAGAGTTAATGAATTCAGTTTGTGATGAACCCATCAGTGGGGTTGGAAATAATGATAGTGATAATTCAGGGGGGCCTAATGAATTCAAAGAAAGATCATTTCAGGATAAAATCAATCAAACAATGAATAAACTTCAGAATAGTTCGGATCAAGTTGATGTATGTAAAAGTTCAAAATTGAAATATTCTTATATTATGTTCATTATTGGATTTTATCCTTTTCGAGAAACCAGATATATGAATTATATAAGATAAATTGGTAACCATATAGATCTGTATTGTATTTGTTACGATACAAATTTGTAAAGTCGCCAAAATTTTCTCTATTGCCTTCCATATCTGGATTCTCAAAAGAGAGGGATCATGATTAACAAGTGTTTATATTTGTAAAGGCTGAAGTTTCAGAAGGTGCAACCGATGCACTAGTCGAACAAATGATTAAACAATTAGAAGGTGTAGCAGGGTTAGCAGGTCTTGGTGAGAATGGAAATATGGAGGATATGATGGGCGGAGGAATGGATAAAGTATTAGAGTGGATGATGGAAACTCTAGCGACAAAAGATTACTTATATGAGCCAATGAAGGAATTTGTTCAAAAGGTGGATAATCATTATTTCGGTATTATTCATAATCTATAGTTTAATACGTATAAATTTTTTTCTACACAACTAACAACAAAAGATATCATCGCTGCATCCTTACACAATCGTCATGGTTGCACTATTTATTTTAAGTACCCGAAATGGCTCGAAGAAAACAAAAGTAAAGTTTCAGAAGAGGACTATGAACGTTATGAAAAACAATCAAAGTATATTCAAAAAATTATTGAGAAATATGAAGCGCCTGACTTTGATGAAAACAATGAACAACAGAATAAAGCAATAGTGAGCTTAATGCAGGAGGTAAATTTCACTTATAATCTCAATTAGATTTAATTAGATTAAATTATTTAAATTTGTGTTTATTTATTTATTTTCATAGCTTCAAGAACTTGGGCAACCACCAGCAGAAATTCTTAATGAGTTAGCACCGGGTATAGAACTTGATGAACAAGGAATGCCAAAAATATCTGCTGCAGAATTGTCTTCTGGTTGTAAAAATATGTAATTCACCATTGAGTCTAAAACACAGTAATTATATTTATGTTCTCTCTACCACATAATGTAGAAAATTTTTATTAATGTTCGGTTTGATTAATTTATTTCCCACATTTTCTCACATCCGATGATATATTGTTATAAATAGTCAAACTTCTCTAAGTGCACGCTCTTGGAACTGAAAATAAATGTGCATTTAAAGAAGGTGCATAATTATAGAAAAATCAACTAGTCAATCAAAAGAAATAAAATTATACATGTGATTAATTCAAATCTCTCTAAACACCAAAATTAAAGGTGTATATTTAGAGAGGTGTAAATTCTGTATTCTATTGGTCAAATCTCACGTGTATGCATTTACGAAGGGTACACATATGTCTGGGTTTCCTGGAACCAAGGTGCACTTAGGGAGGTTTGATTGTATTATATTATTTAAGCTAGCCTTTATCCGAAAAAAGCCATACTTACATCAAACTTTATAAAATTTCATAGTTCATAATAAAATGACAAAATCAATAAATTATTTCTTCACAAAGTTTTCATATAGCAAAAATTTATTGATCCTAATGCTTAAAGAAATATTGTTTTGCGACAGTCCATGTTCCGGCAGCAGCTGCGCAGATTACAGATGTAGTCGCTGCAGCTTTTATACCAGCTTTAATTTGCGTAAAAATAGTTAGCAGAGAACTTTATTCATTGATATAGATATAGATATTCCAACTTTTTCTAATTACCTGTAGACTTGAAAATCGCGCCTATTAAAGCACCGGATGCAACATTATTTATAGCATCATGTCTGCCTCTCATGTTGCTAATTATTCCGTTGATACTATTATAACCCATAGCTATTAATTCACAAAACAAAAAACAAATCAATCATCGAGTATTTGTAACCATTTTATTAAACATTTATCTCAAGATGGCTTTTGGACAATTTTTAACAGTTTTAACGGTTTTAACAGTTTTGGACAAATTTTTTGTCATATGAAAAGCTCTCCAAAACTGTCCAATTGCCAACACTGATTTATCTTATACCTAAGATTCCACATGAATTTCCAATGTAAGGACCACGTCTAGTGACAGAATTAAGCACCGTGTTTAATCGTAATTTGAAATTAGGTGTATGTCCACGTAATCCTTCAATCAGACCCCATGTACCACCAAAAGTTAGACCTACATGTGTCAAACGCTGTGAATTTTACAAAACACCTCTTCAAGATCTTGTTAAACAGATTTTCGCGGATTATTGATAGTACCGGTCAAATATGTTGTTCCAGTGCCATAACATAGATCGTCCATTACTCCTCGGCTAGGAAGTGCACCCGGCGTGATTCCCTGCTCATCGAACTTTAAATAATCGATATTGCCAAGACCCGCTATCTCCTTTATTTGTGCAGAGTTTAAATTTACTCGACCCAAAAAATCTGACACTGCAACCGGATCGTGACCAAATTGATCCGTTGGAGACTGGTAATGTTGACCATCATATGTATCAACAGGCGCGTCTTTTGCAAAGGACATTTTTTTTTTTTTTTTTTAATTCAAAAATTGACAATCTGATGAAGTCATTTTATATACGAAAATTTATGGTAGTACAAAGTCACGGTACCATATATATATATCAAATGATCAAGACATGGAAGAAAAAAAAAAATGCCATCACCTGAGATACTTCCTTTGGACGAACTTTCTGACTCTGAACTACTAGAAGATTTTATACCACAACAGCGTGTAACGATAAATAACAAAGTCTGTTTATTCATAAATTAAAGAACTTTTATAGAATTTATATTAACAATTGAAAATTTTATTCATTGACAAGTCAGCATTAAAAAAAATTTGCAATGAAATAAAAATCGATGTACCATGGATTGAAACTCAAGTTATTACATCTTCAGAGCCTGCGTCAATTAAAGATATCAATAACGACATTGAGCGTGAATTAGCATTGTTTGTACAATTGGATCCTTTTGTCAGTCCTGTGATTTTTTCCTTATAAACATTCACAATATTTAACCGTGGAAAAATTGATAATAATAGTTATAAACAAGCCCTTGAAGGTGCAATTGAGGGACGCAAAAATGTCTTGGCATCTGGTGTACCATTCTCAAGGCCGGATGACTATTTCGCTGAAATGGTTAAATCAGATGTGCACATGTCTAGAATACGACAAAAATTGGTAGACGAAGAACAAAGTATTAAGGCCAGTGAAGAAGCAAGGCGTCAAAGAGAGTTAAAAAAATTTGGTAAAAAAGTTCAAATTGAAAAAATCCAAGAAAGACAGAAAAAAAAGAAAGAAGAGTTGGAAAAAATTAAAGTCATGAAAAAAAGTGATTATCTTAATTTTTTTTTTATACAGATTTTTCCTATAATTCTTTGTTTAATATTCATCGTAATACAAATATTAGAACGAAAGGGTATTGAAGATACTGCCATAGATGATGATTTTGACATTGCTCTAGAGCAGGCTGCGGCTGATGATAGACCAAAGAAGAGACAAAATACTGGGAAGAATACAAAACGTATTAGTAAGGTACTTATATAATTATTTATACCTCGTTTTACACGTTAAAGTTTTGACTTATCACCTGATTTATACAAAAGAATGCAAGGTATGGGTTTGGCGGGAAAAAACGCCACTCTAAATCCAATACTGCAACCTCTTCCGCGGATATATCTCAATTTGATTCGAAGAAAAGTAAAGGGTTTGGTCGGAGGGTAAGTTGTCTCAAGGTTTAATACTTTACTCTTTGGATATAAAATTTTTGACTATACGATAAATTATTGAACCACTAATTGTTATATTACTATAGGCATCAACAGCAAATCAAAAAAGAAAATCTACGAAGAAAAGACCAGGAAAAGCTAGACGTAAATCAACGAGAAATAAAAAGTAATACATAAATTTAGCAAATATGATTAATTCGCTTGTTATCCCGTCTTTATAAGTATCGTTATTGTGAAAACCTGCTATGTAGGAAAAAAAATAAAAAATTTACGTCTGTAATATATCTTGAATTCTGGTTAGGTGATAATTTATTAACTAAAATAGTAAATGTTTGCGGGAAAAGAAATTTTGTTTAGTGTTGTTATATGATAATATAATGATACATTTTGAGGTTTTGATTAATAATCGTTAAATGAATTTATTGCAGTATTGTTATAATATCAGTAGGATTTATTTTGAACTGGCGGCATCCACAATTTACGTTAAACCAGTATTGTCATAGGGACCTTAAACATAATAATATACAATACAATAATGGATGCCGCCACTAGGAAAAAAAAAAGGAATTATGTAAACCCCCGCCCCCACCTGGATTCGAACCAGGATCCTTTCGGTTAACAGCCGAACGCGCTAGCCGGTTGCGCCATGGAGGCTTATTATATAATAAATAGGCAAATTTTTAATATATATTTATAATGTTCTAGAAATTATGTTCGAAATTTAAATATATTTCTTCCTCTTCAAAAAAAATAGGTTAAAAATTAGTTTTTTTTTTTTTAAAAAAAAAGAAAAATTAAATTCGTATTGAAAATTTTTATTATTGTAAAATATATAGTGCGATAGAATATCAAGTAAAGACGGCATCCACAATTTGACGTTAAACTAGTACTGTATTGTATAAAAAGAATAGGGCCTTGAAGGTAATATTATGTTTGTATTACTTTTAAGATTTCTATATCAATACTGGTTTAACGTAAATTGTAAATGCCGCCATTTTTCAGTTTTTTTTAACAAATTTACTAAATCACACTAATACGTACTACATATATTTTTAATAATTTGTTAGTAAAATTTAAAGTTTGAGGTTTAAACTATAGTAAAGATATAGGTTTAATTTTTAGTTAAAGGTTTTGGGAAACGTTAAACATTTTTATTTATATTTGGAATTGACTAGTTAGTTTTTTTTAAGATATAGCAACTATAAAATTATATAAGTATCATTAATATAATTTAGCAAAATTATTTTTTAATATAAATAAAAAAATAATTTACTTGTTACTAATATTGACTAATGACCTATATTATAACTTTTTTTTATATAATCTTAATTTTTTTTTTTTTTTTTGGTATTAAGGTGAGGTTTTGTATAATCTTAATTATATAATTATCTAATTATATTAAATGTTAATAAAAATTTTTTTTATAATTCTTATTATATTAATTTTTGTTATAATCAAATAGATTTAGTAATAAAGATTTTTTCAAATAATTATGATTTTATTAGTAGTTACTACATAGTAAGTAGCAGTTACTAATAATTATTACTATTAGCAATATAATATAAATTTATTAGTTAATTTTTATACTTATTTGTTTAAAATTATAATATATATTATATAAATTATATTAATTAAATTTAATAAACAAGAGTATGATAACTTAAAGTAGTTGGTAAGTTGTTAACCTCAAGTAGTAAGTATAGTGTTCAAATTTTATTTATATTAAAATATAAAAATTATATCTGTATTACAGTAACTGTTCTTAGTAATCAGTTGTATTTATATATTTGTAATATTAAATACATTAAGTTAGATTCTATTTGTTATCAAAAGCTTAAAACATTTATACAAAATTTAATATTATATATATATATTTTTTTTAAATATTAAGGTGAGTACTTGTGACTCAGGATTTTATTAATAGTACATTCAGCTAATGGTTGCATTACAACCACAGAGGACAACTATGGAAAGAGTATACAACTAGCCACTCATACAACTTTAGTCATTGTCTAATTTAAGTAGTCCACCCGAAGGTTCTACACTAGCTGCCATACTTGGAACCTACTTGTAGGTTCCCTATTTAACCACTCTGTTCCCATATCCACCCACCTACCTACACCTACCAAGATGTCCTAGTCGATACTAGTTCAAATATACTATGGTCACTAAGTCTTTAAAGCAGTTCACTTACATGGGGAACCTTTGATCTTGTACTAAACCTTCCAGAATCTTCTGTATCCTATTCTTACAGCTAATCTGATATCATTATGACCGAGACCAACACTGGCAGTCAGGATGTACCATTAAACCACTATGTCCTTGTAGAGTTCATTCCAACCTCAGTACTGACTTCACAATATATCCTTACTACTTTGGTATTCAATTCAAGTTCCACCAAGCTGCCATTCCAGATAGCCCAAAAAGGTAAAGTAAGACTATATCTCTGATTTATATGTTTGCCAACATGTACACTTTTTCTCTGAAATCTGGAAATTCCAGCAGCCTAGTTGATTCATCTGGTTCCTTCTCAAAGACTGGCACATTTGCCTGGTTTCACAAGTTCTAGCTCTATTTCATAAGTCTAGTCTTTACAGTAGTATCATCGAAAGCTCAGAGTACCTCTCTACTTGGGTCTTCCAAGTAGGCTTTTATAATTTTTCTATTGGTTCCTATGATTTACATAGTCACAAGGACTTATTGTAAGTTTGCACCACCTGGTATCAGTTTGTATTCCTTTGTGTAACCACAAACCTTGTCTCAAATAACAATGTCATGTGAATGTTACACAAATGCCATGTGACCTGCCAGTCATGCTGATGCGATATAAATTACAAGTGTCTTATCCCAATCAATTACGAAAACAGTTAATCATAATACAAGAAGGATTTTCAAATTTTCTGTCAACACTGAGATTTGAACTCTGAATCTGCCACTTGGGAGTTGACAACCTAACTACTTCACTAGGTCACTACACCCCTAGGGTTTGTGCTTATTCTGTAGTATATTTTTTAAACTTGATAGTTGTATAACTATTAAAATTTGTAAAAATTAAGAGTTAAAAGTATTTGTCATTAGGGTGTGGTGACCTAGTGAAGTAGGTAGGTTGTCAACTCTCAAGTGGCAGGTCTAAGGTTCAATTCCCACAGATGATGAATTTTGAAAATTATACCTGTGTTATGATAACTGTCTCTTACTGATCAGTTGGGTTTTGGGCATCTGTAATCTTAGATATACCAAGTCAGGTCCCATCTGATATTGGGAGCTCAGGGCATCTATATGAAGTGTAATGTTACACAGTATATGTACATAGAGGAATGTAAAACTGGTGTTATATAAGGCTTTAGGCAAACCTATAATAAGACCACCAGGTGTAAAAGGCTAAGAAACTAAAGAAATAAAAACTCATTTGAAAATCCTAAGTAAAGAGGTAGCACAAACTTTCGATAGTGCTATTGGACTGATAAAAGCTCATAAAACACCTTTATAGGAACTGTTGGATAAACCAGATGACAAAGATATGTAGAGGAGCATATAACTAACCAGGCCACCAGAATTGCTAGAAGAAAAGGATACATAAGTATACCATACTGGGCCATCTGGATTGGAAGTCTGAAGAAGTCTGTTGTTGGTTCTGAGTTGTAGCTAGTAGGGGATGATGAAGAAGAAGTTGGAAAGATGAGTACCAGAATTTGGGTGAACTTTACAAGAGTAATAGTGGTTTAAGGAGTAACCCTGACTGCAAGTATTGGCCTTGGCCATAGCATCAAACCAGATTAGCGGTAAAAGAGAATATGGCTCTCTTTGGTAGGTTTACCTTGAGGATAACTGTCCTATAGTTAAAAGTGAATAGATCTGGGTCTGTGATCTAGTAAATTAATACTAGGGTTAAATCAGAAGGTTTAAATGAAACATCTAAGCAGGGGTGTTAGGTATAACAACTGGTAGGGAACTCTTGGGCAGACTTCTTAAATAGGTAATATAGAAAAGTTATACGTATAGCTAGTTGTATATTCATCTAATAGTTCAATATGGATATGTCTGTATAAAACATATACTCAACATAAGTATTAATAAAAAACTAGTACCAAAGAGGTCACCTTAATACCGAAAAAAAAAAAAAAGTATTTGTCATTATGATAATAGTTTGCTGTCTAACTTCTGGTGTCTTCTTTAGTTTCTAAACTAAATTCTTTACTTTTTAAAGACAACTTATATTTTTTTCTTAAACTTTTCTTATTTATATATTTTTTTTATTTTTTATTTTTTTAACTTTAAGCAGTTATACTAGTACTTTATTAAAATTCTTGAAACTATATACATATACAATTATATAGAATTTTCCAATATCTAAGTCTAGCATTACTCAGTCACTCTTATGATACCTAAGTGCAACCTGTTATACTATTTCAGTTAGAGGTAGACTGCTTGTCTAACTACTTAAAGCCATATCAGAAGGGCCTCTTTCCTTCTGTGATAAGTATATTGATTGTCTTTAAAGCTTTTTTCTTCATTTGGTTTACTTTTTCTATTTTCCTTTCCTTTTCTTTTTCTTTTGTTTGTTGATTTTTTCTCTTTTCTTTATTTATTTTTTCTTTTATATAAACACCTTTCTTCATCTTGTTTGTTATATTATTATTCTTTTTCCAGTCTTGTGTTTTCTCATATTGGACTCTCTATACTTGGTCATAAAAGGTGTTCCACACTGTTCTTGTTGCTATATTCAT